ATTTTGTAATTTCGTTGGTCGTTCGGAATCCTACTCAGTCTTGTTTTTTTAAATTTTTTATGTTCTTGTTTGTGTTTATTTTTTTTTAATATTTATAATATGTTTTTAGTTGCAATTGTGATACTTGTTGATTTTACACAAACAATAATTTTCTTTATTATTCTTATCATTGTTACGACATTAAATAGATATGCTGAAGGAATATCTACTATACTGATGACAAGTGAAATTAATACTATAGTCTTGACTTGAATCCTTGTTCAAGAAGCTTCATCTTCCCTCTATTCCTGCAACATGTTCTTCCTGATGTCAAAGTCATAATCATTGCATTATTATAACATTAATTGTTTTTTAAAATAAAATAATTCATTACACACTTGATAAAAGAATAATATGTAAGATTAGTACCTTCTTTTAGCTGGAAACCTCCACTAAGTAATGCAATTGATTCCAAGCATAGCTAGCCTAGCTACTAGCTATGTTAAAACATTGATTGCTTTTCCCAGTTCTGAGATCTGATCTGAGCATGCGCGACCACGCCCAAATTTTGGAGCACATGCTTCTATAATTAACAAAATGGCGACGGGAGGTAAGCTGGCCTGATACAGCAGTTATAACATCACTTTTTCTTATCTTGGAGAATGATTTTAGGGGACATGGATCTGCGCATTGACTGTTGGAGTAGACTGGTGTAAGAATTAGCCTTCTAGCACCAGCCAAGATCGAGATACACCTGGCCAACTGAATTGACAGGACTTGATGAAGATGAAGATGAAAAAAGGCGGCTGAACAAAACGGCCGGTTCGCCAATTTTTGAATTTCCTCTTAGACAAGGTCTAGAGCCACGCTAGTAGTACCAACGGAGTCCTCTGGTCAAGATAAGGTCCTCTAAGAAGTCTGGTAAGCATAGGAGCTCGTTTTCTCGGTATAGCAAGGCTGCAAAAGTCGTGGCAGCCATTTTGTTTGGGGGTGAATCCTACTTAGTAACGCTACCGCGTTACTAATAATAATACATTAATTGAATTATTCATCATCTTAATAAAGTGGGCGTTTCCCCTTTTAAGGCTTTTTTTAAAAGAAAAATTGTTTTGAGCAATGACTAGTGCAAGTAAAGCAGGATTAAAGTTGAAATGGTTTCAGCTAGCAGTAGTAATAGTGGGAGTTCTTATTTGCTTTATAGTTTTATTGTTATCAAAAAGAATGGACTTTAGAATCATTAGATCT